ATTTAATTATAAATTAGGCATAGTAAATTATTAACAATAAAATAGAACAATAATATAGTGTAATAAAGGCTATGCAAATATGGTGTCTCTCTCTCTCCAATCATTTTTATATTTTCAGTCCAAACCTACTCCTGAATCTGTGTAATGATCTCTTATTTGTTGGTGTTACTTGTTACTAGGCTTAAAGCTTTCTGGTGCAACACTTGCTGTCAATTGGAACATTTTCTGTTCATGTCTTCCACCCACAAATTTAATGTTGTTTCCATCTTAACTAAGCACTCATACACCAGCTATAACTTTTGCAGTCTGAGGTACACAGCAAAACTAGCATAAATTTCTTTTTCCTTCTTCACACTTTCACAAAGATAGAAGACTCATTCCTACTGTGATCATAGCAATTTCAGCCTACTTTTTTCTTTCCTTATTAAGTGGAGAACTTTCACCTTTTCAGTTAAAGGAAGCATTTTCCAGCTTCTCTTTGGCATATCTGAATTGCTAGTATCACTATTTTTGCACTTTGGATGGGATGAAGCAATACTTCATCATACTACTCAGAATAGCACACAATTTAAAATGTATCAATTGTTTATTTCTGGAATGTTCCATTTAATATTTTAAGACCACAGTTGACCCCACAAAGTAACTGAAACCATGGAAAGCAAAACAGCAGATAAGGGGGTCCACTATACAGACAGGGAAAAAAACAAAAAGTCAGCCTAGCCCTAACCGATTTGGCTCAGTGGATAGAGCATCAGCCTGCGGACTTAAGGGTCCCAGGTTCGATTCCGGTCAAGGGCATGTACCTAGGTTGCAGGCACATCCCCAGTAGGAGGTGTGCAGGAGGCAGCTGATCGATGTTTCTCTCTTATCGATGTTTCTAACTCTCTATCCCTCTCCCTTCCTCTCTGTAAAAAAATCAATAAATCTTTGATTACCTCCCACCCACCCACCATCCCACACCTTCCCTCGCTAGCTTCAAGAAGTAAAATTTGGTTTTGTTTAAACACAGGGCTACATCAGAAGTTAAAGTTTTGTGTGTTTTTTTGTGTGTGTTCTTTTTTATATATATATTAATTGTTCCATGCTTCCATGTCTCTGGATCCTCTCCGATCATCAGTTTGTTACTTAGATTCCAGATATGAGTGCGATTATGTGATACTTGTCTTTCTCTGACTGACTTATTGTGTGTGTGTGTGTGTGTGTGTGTGTGTGTGTGTGTGTGTGTGTGTGTGTTTTCTTAAACACAGGGCTACATTTTACACATGTTTATACTTATCCCCAGTGATTTCCAGCCAGAACTTAAAGTCATTTAGGAATGAGAATACAAACAAATTACTACCATGCCATACTACTCAAATACATCTGAATACATAGTATTCTTTAAAAACATAATGTCTGGCTATTTATTTCTTCTATTTTCACCCAATGAAGATGAGGACACTTTGTGGATCAGATAGGAGATGACTGCCTTACCAACAGGACATTTATTTTCTTTGCATCAACAGCCTTCCCAACTACTGACCAATGCAATAAAGACTACAAAACTAGCTCTCAATAAAAAGTAAAAATATAACCTGATACCAATATCTTCTTTATTTTCTGCCTCATCAACTACTAAAAAAATCTCCAGTTCTCAACCTACTTCACTACCTCCCACAATCAAATCAAATAGCTCTGAAACACCTAAGACTACAAGGTCATTTCATTACATGCTCCTGCAATTTAAATAACTATTTAGGGGAAAAGGTATAAAATTTTGCCTAATATGAGGCTCCTGCTTTGTATAATAAAATAGCATATATTGAGGCTAGGGAATATTTTAATTTAAATTAATTTCAATCACTTTTTGTTCAACTATGAAAGAAATCTAATCACACAAAAGCTTAGAAACCTAAAAAAGTATCAGAAACTAGGCTGATAACTGTGGAGCAAGATGCCCTCTCCTTCTCCCTTATCCTCTTCTCCCACCTTTTTGTCGTTCCCTACAGGTTAACTACAAAATATTAAGTAACTAATTTGTACTTGCAAAGTAATAGAATATTTCCATGTGACTTAAGAATGTCTGATGGGGGGGGAGGGGAATGTCTGATGAAAATTTTGTTTTGTTTTGACTTTGTTAGAGTCAAACTGGTAGCCTGGAAACAAAAGCCAACTATTGTATTAATTTCCTAGAAAAACAAAATGCAAATTACCTTTTTCTTAAAATAAGTATTCACTAAATTTTACTTTTTATTTATTGAAAATACCCTGCAAGTGTAGACTTTAAGAGCACAAATGAGCAAAACTGCCAATAAAAAAGAATTTAAAGGTTGCTATGAACACTGTATTCTCCTAGTATAAGCTCAAAAAGCAAAACTACTGAGTTCCAAGTTTTATAAAATATTTGAAAGGTACAACTTGTTTGTAATGAAAAATTAAAACACTACACACTCACTAGAACATGGATTCCTTCTTTTTCAACTGGAGCTTTATCGTATGTAGCATCACAAACTCGAACCAAAGTTGTCACTCCATACTTCTTAAGTTCCTTTAAAGAAAAATAAATATAAGGTAATTTGCTTTTAGAATCTGCGACCAAAGCTTTAAAAATTTACTATTTTGAGTTGAAACAATGAGACATTATTCTTCAATAAAAACCAAAATCATTCTCGTTGTGGCAACATATATAGTGGACACTCTTGCACTCTCAGTAGAATTATCAGTAAGACTCACCTTTATAAAGGACAATTTAGTAGCATAACACAAAAACTTTAAAAGAACACATATACTTTGACCTAGAAATTCTACTTCTGAGAATTTTTACTAATGAAATAATTGAAGAAATACACATTTAGATGCCAAGCATGTTCAGCACAGTTTGGAATGGTAAAAACCTGGAAACAACATTAATCGTCTGAACAAGGGAATGGTTAAAGAAAGTATGGGTTAGCCATACAGCATACTATGACAGCTATGAAAATAATACTGAAGAGGTTGGGGGAAGTTTTATTTTAAATATGACCCTATCTATTTGTAGGATCACAGAAACATCTAGAAGCCAAGTATTAACAGTTGTTTTTTTTAAAAGAAACAGTGTTTATATTATATATATATACCAGAGGCCTGTTGCACGAAGAGATTTGTGCAATAGTCTTCCCTTCTCCTGGCTGCCAGCACCGGTTTTCCTCCAGCACCCGGAAACCAGGCCTTCACTGCTCCAGCCAGAGCCTTCAGTCTTCGCTCCGCCACTTTGCACCTACCTATGCAAATTAACTGCCATCTTTGTTGGGTTAATTTGCACTCTCCTGATTGGCTGATGAGCGTAGCGGAGGGATGGTCAATTTACATGTTTGTCTATTATTAGGTAATATATACTGGAGGCCCAACGCATGAAATTCGTGCATAGGTAGAGTCCCTTGGCCTTCTGGCTGCTGGCTAGGGCCTTCCTTACCCAGCTGCCGGCTGCCAGCTGGGGCCGGCCCCTGGTGGTCAGCACATGTCATAGTGAGCGATTGAACTCCTGGTTGAACTCCGCAGGACAATTTGCATAGTAGGCTTTTATATATATAGATTTTTAAAAATTGATTTCAGAGAGGAAGGAAGAGTGAGTGTAGTGAATCTTTGTTCTCAGTGACGAATTTTGTTAAGTCTCGTAATCAGAATAGCCTGACGGATGAAAGTAGTAGCTCGTGTATATCTCTACAGGTCACAAAATATAAACCTGATGTAAAATCTCTGTCATCAGTGATGCAGCAGCAAAAGTCCCACTGATAATATCAGAGTCATAAAGTTTTCTGTTGGACTATCATTGTACATGTATACATTAAAAAATAAATGTATTTTTCATCATCATATACTGTGTTTTTGTCACTCGAATGAATTTTATTACTTCTTCAAGGTTCTTCACATAAGTACACCTTAAGAGATATCAAGTAGGCATAACATGTTCTCAAAAAATTAGGGTTGGCACGCAGAAGAATTTTGAGTCAGAGATTTTGCTGGTTTTGGCACGCACTCACAAAAAGGTTGCCCACCCCTGAGCTAGGGCAACAGTTAAATATTTTTAATAAAGTGTCTTTTGCTTATCTGTATCTTCTGGTTTTTATTTAGAAAATACTTACTGTTCTTTTTTTTTTTAATTTAAGGAAACAAGTTATTTTGAAAGATTAAAAAGTGGTATTATATTACAAAGCCTACTAACATACAAAATAATTATAGCCAGAAGTCTTGCTCCTTTAAAAACTTTCCCACAATAATGCCTAATACAGTGACTACCTATCTTCAAGAGACCACCATCTTTTTATAGTTGCAGGAGGACAGTGACTTCTGCCACTTTTGGAATCTATGGCCAAGGAATCCACAGGCTGAAAATAGTATCACATAATTCAGCCAGGCTTAAAGGTGACTGATCAACCTAAGGACACAAGCCTAGAATCAACTTGTACACTGTGCACACAAAGTTAAGCAGCTTAGGACTTATTAAGTATAAATAAGCAGGAACAGTGATATCATGTTTGGTTATCTAAAGAGTTATTTTAATTGCTAAAGGATTTTATTTTTCACAAAAAGGCTTTCTTATAAAGTATGTTCAGGAAAGTTGATAAGTATTATAACTAAGTCAGTAATTTTAATAAGTTTCAAAATACAAATAAAATCCCTTTGAAATGAACTTCATAGTAGCCATTCATCGGAAGGTTATGGTAGAATTTTTCATGGTAAATATTTGTGGCCTTAAGCAAGTCAAAACCTTTTTTGAACTCAGTTTTGCCATTTGAAAAATGAGAGGGATGGACTTAGAATCCCTAAAAGTTCATTCAGCTCTCTAAGTCTATTCCATAAAATACATCAATAGAAATCACATTGAGACTGAACCACCAGGGAATGATTAAAAAGCTTACTCATATCTGAGTTAAGTACATGCTTTCCACTAATAGAAAAAATGAAGGATCTGACAAAAATGCTACCTATAATACCTTTCCTTCCCCTAAGTTTCTGAACCCTTGTATATAATGGCTACTACTGCCAAGTAGTTCTGGGGTAGCTTTTCAACAAAAGTGGTTAGAATATTTGAGGCAGACACAGGTTTTAGTGTCAGAGACAGTTCTACTATGTACTGTGTGCCTTCAGGCAAATTACTAAATTGCTCTGAATTTCAATTTCCTCATCTGTAAGAGAGAGATAATAATAGTACTGTATGCAACTGCTTATTGTAATGCTGGGTAGAAAGTGTCCAGTAAATGTTATTGTTTTTATTATTGAAAGTATAATCAGAGAACTAATAATGTAGAAAAGATATAAGAAAAAACATAGTACTAGATACTTTCTAAGGTCCTCCCAAATTCCATAAATGTTCTTTTAAAAATGTTATAATTAATCTAACCCATTAAAAAAAAAAAAAAAAAGACTGGTAGGATGACCATCATATGCCAATCACGGAAATAAATGGCTTTGTGATAAGAAATTTCTTTATAATGGTGTTAATTTTAATGGGATTTTACCTATATATCAATCCAAAAAGTACACCATAGTATAATCTTACCTCTGTGAACTTGTTGAGGGTAGCATTGGTAGGGTTGTGAGTAATCAGAAAACGCATGTTCTCATAGGAGATCTCCACAGGGGCTGGACGGTTCATTATGGCAAATAAAAAGTGTGAGCGTGCGTGTGTGAGTGAGTGTGATGGGGAAAATGAAAACAACAAAAAAATCAATAAATCTTGAAATGTTTCACAGCAGAAAACATTAAAAAGACCACTAAAATGCCTATTATCAATCAGTGTTTTCTCTATTCAATGTGTTTATTCTTTAAGTAGCTTCTCTCTTCAAGATAAGCAGAAGTATTCAGAATCCACTTGAATCCAAATTCAACTTGGGCCTCAATGTCTGCAGATGGATACCTTCGGACTCCAAAAACATCCAACTACATACAAAACTTAAGCAGCCTTTACTACATTTAGGCACTAGTGAGACAAGTTAAAAGTGTAGATTACTTTCCACTTTTGTTTACTTGATGCTTAATTTTACTGGAGTCATTAAAAGAAATATGCTTGCAATAAAAAAAAAAAGCCAACTATTTCTGAGGCCAGTCTCGGTGTCCAGAGTCTTCAAGGCAATATTAATTATGGCACATAGAACCCCCCAAGCTCACTTGTCAGCAAAAACGCTGTGCTGAGCCTGGCAGAAGTCTGCCCTCACACTCAGAATCGCCATAAATGTGCAACGTATATTCCAACGAAAAACCTGGAAGAGAAAAGCATAAGTAAAATGAACTGGAGGTTGATAGCATTCATAAACACAATGCTCAAAGTCAAGAACACATTCTTTATGAGCCTGAAGACATCTGAAATGTCACCAATTCTAAATTATTGCCATCTATAAAGAATAGGATAAAAGTATATACCGAGAGTTTTAAAAGCTAGAGATTCAAGTCAAGCTTGTCTTTCTTTTTTCAAAACACAATCCAAGAAGCAAAGTTTCTGTGCTAACAAGATTACTTTTAGCCCTGGCCAGTGTAGCTCAGTTGCTTGTGCACTGAAAGGTCACCGGATGATTTCTGTCAGGGTACATGCCCAGGTTGCAGGCTCATTCCCTGATCCCCAATAGGGAGCATGCAGGAGGCAGCCAATCAATGTTTTGCTCTCACATTGATGTTTCTATTTCCCTCTCCCTTCCTCTATAAAAATCAATTGAAATATTTTCTTAAAAAATATTATTTTTAACTTGCCTCCTACTGGGGATTGAGCCACAACCCAGGCATGTGCCCTGGCCAGGAATCGAACCCATGACCTTTTAGTGCATGGGACAACACTCAACGGAGCCACACTGGCCAAGACCACAAGTCATTTTTAAATGATTTAAAGATCCTTAAAGCAATCTTCCCTCCATGGACTCTTCATAAAGTTTACAAGGATCTCCTTTTTCTGTTTTGATGGTAGTCTTCCACAAATAGTCTTTGTTTCAAATAAGATAAATCTATAAATGGATAGAGGATATTTACCAAAGCTCCACTTTGAGGATTTAATTATTTCTATCTAAAATATATGCATTTGACCCCAATTAGGATACTATTCCATAAAGCACTTCCTGAAAAAAATTATCTTCTTTTCCTAACAACTCTGAGTAGTTGTTAAGACCTATGAGGAATGAGGAAAGAGGATCAGAAAAGTGAAGTGACTTGTCTAAGGTAAATGAATTAGTTGAGCCCAAATTCTAAACCAAGTCTTCTGTTAGTTCCATGTTTTTTCCAGTGTACCATAATGTCAGCTGCCTCAGCAAATGTGTAAAACCCATCCTCTCATTTTCTAGTCCAGTTTACCTTTTTATTATTTCTCATATCACACCTCTAAAATACAAATGCATTTAAAGTTCAATTCACACAGCATTCTCCTGCCCAAATATGTATTAATCCCTACCAAAAACAAGGCAAGAAAAAGAAGTGGCAGAATTTTAATATTATTTTAGGTCACTGCTATGAAACACAGTAATCTTTATAGCTGGCTCAGTCCAAATGTCAACATAATCATAACTTCCTCTGGAAATAGGGACAAAGTCAAGTCCTTTCACTTGCCTCTTTCTTAAGCCTCCAATAAATGCTTATTTAGAAGTCCCTAAAAAAGATAATTGTGATCAAACAGAAAAAGACATAAAAGATAATGACTATAGAACCATTTTCAGGAAGAAACTGAAATACAGATTAATTCAAGCCTATTCATCTATCCTCAGTCTTCTTTTTATGATATGGCATTTTATTTTGTAAGTTACATACTTGTGATGTTATCACCATGGACACGCACAAAATTAAAACATTCCTGAAATATGAATGACAGATAATTCAAAATGGCATTCTATGAACATCCATAACTCAACAGAATGAGTTACCCACTACAGTAAATACACAAAACTTCTACACTCTAAGAAAATATACATCTACACTCTTCCTTTCTTTTTTCTTTTTTAAATCCTCACCCAAGGATATTTTTCCATTGATTTTCAGACAGAGTCGAAGGAAGGAGAGGGAGGGGGTTGGAGGGGGGGGGGGAGAGAATCAACATGAGAGCAACACATAATTGTTGCCTCTCGCACATGCCAGAGGGATGGGATCCAACCCTTCAGTCTTCAGGCTGATGCTGTAACCACCGAGCAAAACTAGCCAGGGCAACACTCTTCCTAACTCATAATTCTAGCTGTAACTCCAAAACACAGCCACCTTAGATTACACATTTCATATAGAGTACTCCTTGTACAGTCAAGGAATTTTAAAGCTGGAAGAAACAAGGAATCAATTACTCTGAACTTAAAAAACAAAACAAACAAAAAACATGATGTTTGGGCTTAAGAGAAGTCAAAATGACAGGCAGATCAAAGACAACAGCCCAGGTCTACTAACTCCCTATTATTTTTCCTTCAATTTTGTCTAATGGAGGTACCCACATATTTAAGTCACACTCTTTTTCATGTAAGTGTAACTTTTCAAATATTTGTTTGGATGTTCATCTGCAACTCTGTGACCTTATAATAAGGGGAGAAAAGATTAATAAGGTAACTACTCAACGAACAATGGTTTATATGCAGTGCAGAGCAAAACACAAGGAAATTCTAACCTGTTTGAATCCCCTTGGTTTAATGATGTTATCACAGCTAATTTGTGTCAGCTGAATAAAGGCACTGAAAGACCTACATTGTAGTGATGTCCAGGCTTAAAAGTTACAGCTCTAGCATTAGGTTTTCTACCTAGTCTCCAGGGTTTGTCTGCTCAGCAAACAGAGCAAACTTTATCCCATCTTATTCCTCCCAAACTCATTTTGGAAGGACCACTTCCAGGGATAATGATAATTAATTATTAGATTTTCAATTCTTAACACCATACTGAGATCTCCCAGCAAAATAATTTCTGCCAAATGAAACAGTATGCTCTATCAAAGTTAACAAATACATGAAAAAAGCAAGCTTCTGCTCCTTCCCCCATCCACAAGAGTTCAACTACACATCAACAGTTAAATGTTCTTGCACCTGTCAATTCAGATAACTAATGTTCACTCCTCTGACATGCATAAGAATACAAAGTAAACAGTCTGTAAAAAATCATAAGCATACCGCAGCTGGAAAGTATTGTCACATAAACTCAGCACCTGTACTCCTTACAGAAAAACCTTCTTCTAAAATTCTCTCTCTGGCATTAATTCTGCTCTATCTACTTAAGTAAAAATTGATTATTGCTTTAATTTACCAGGTGATGGAAGAGGCTGTTTTTTGTTGTTGTTAATCCTCAGTGGACGATATTTTTCCCAATGATTTTTAGAGAGAGTGGAAGGGAGGAAGGAGGGACAGAAACATCAGAGAGAGAGACATATCGATTGGTTGCCTCTCACGGGAATCAGCATGCAACCAAGGTACGTGCCCTTGACCAAAATCAAAACTGGGATCCATCAGTCCACAGGCTGGCATTCTAACCACTGAACAAACCAGCTAGGGCAAGAGGTTGGTTTACTTGACAAATAATAGTGGCCAAATTCAAATAAGCATCTAAATATTCTCTTCACCCTTTACTTTTATGGAACCTAACTTTTAAAATGTTGCATCTGGGCCCTGGCCGGTTTGGCTCAGTGGATAAAGCGTCAGCCTGCAGGCTGAAGGGTCCCAGGTTTGATGCTGGTCAAGGGCATGTACCTTGGTTGCAGGCATATCCCCAGTAGGAGGTGTGCAGGAGGCAGCTGATCGATGTTTCTAACTCTCTATCCCTCTCCCTTCCTCTCTGTAAAAAATCAATAAAATATAGTTTTAAAAATAAAATGTTGCATTTGGGACATTTCCATTTTTAACAAATAAAATAACAGAACTTCACTGAAAGATTAGAAAGGATGGTCTGTGCCAAACAATTCTTTTCAATTAAAGAAGGAAAGGAAGAAAGAGAACAAAGAAAGAAGAAAGAGGGGGCTTAGAAAAACAGCAAGCAAGCAGGGGCCTACCAAGCTAAGACAGTGCACTGCCAATAACAGTAAGTGAGTAACACAAGTCAAACCTCAATTCTCAAACGTCTCCCATCTTGAAAAATTCACTTCTCAATCCGACAACCCTTTATACCTGTATGATTAATCACCTGACTCTTAGGTGACAAACAAGGAAAGAATTCTAGAGCCTGAGTCAGTTTACCACTGTTAACATCTCAGGAAATTGTTCTGTGAATATTTTTGTGGTTTTTTGCTTTTGTTGCTGCTTATTATTGTTATTAAATTTTAATTTTTTACTATACATTTCATTTCCTTTTTGTTAAATTTTTATTTCATGTCCTTTTTGTCTTTGAAGTGTTTATTTATAGATTAAATAGTACATTAAACATGTACTGTATATAAGGTGAAAACAGGGCATCATTTGTGGTCTGGAACAGATTGATTCAATGTACATGATTTCTAATGGGAAAAAATGCTTTGGTTTTTGAACCTTCTAGAACAAATTAAGTTCAAGAACTGAGGTTGCTAGAGTTTAAATGTCTAAGATCAATCCTCTACTGCCAATATTGACCTAGATGAGAATCAAAAACTAAAATGTATGAAATACAGTAAGCCCTTGATTTTGCTGACCTCAATTTAATGGACTTCGGCGTTAACAAACAAAATTTCCAGTCCGTACGTCATATGTAAAATTAACACCTTGTTAATTTTAAAATGCTTGTAAACAAGATGTGCTTATAATTAAACTAAAGACCTGATGCACAAAATTCATGCAAGGGGCTCAGCCCTCGCAGCCCAGGTTTTGTCCGGAAGGTCATTTGGCTATCTGGTCTAATTAGCATATTATGCTTTTATTATTATAGAAGATTAACAGGTTGTTTTTTTATTAGTTCATTATTATTTTTAACAAATTTTAACAATACGTCATATGTTGGAAAAAACACTGTGGTAATAATTTCAGCGACATAAATCTTACATATCTACAACTATAGTCTACATATTCAAATCCAAGGCTCACTGCTCGGAAACAATGTTCAGTGAGTGACTAGCACATGATCACACCATATCTCTCGTGGTAATTGGTTCTGTTGTTGCATGGTGTGACTTTTTGCAGCAAATATACTAAGCCAGCCGTGTGCAAAATGCTTGTGGTGACTGATAAATGTACGTATTTACTAGATCTATTCAGTATAGATTAAAATTACTGTAATACACAAAGGGAACTTTTCTGTGAAATTAAACTTTTCATACGTACCTAATTTTAATTACATAAACATGTCTACATAAGTAAAAACAGGTAAACTAACTAATTTGTAAATTTTTTAACATAATGCATTCGGAAAACCTACTTTATTATATAACGGATTTTCAGCTTTAAGGGACATCTGTTCACCCAAATTAGTCCATTATATCAAGGTTTTACTATAATATTTAATACAATATCCATCATTTAATCATGACACATTCATAAAATGGAAACTATGCAGAGGTCAAAAAGAATAAAATATGAACTGCTATGGAAAGATGGCTAAGAGACACTAATAAGTAAAAAGAGCAAGGTCTATAACAGTGTATACAGAAATATTTGTGAGTATCATATATGCTTCCATATCCATGAACTACCTGGAAAATTACAAAGATAAGAGGTAACAATAGTTGCCTGGGAGCATGATTTACTTTATCATAATATATGCCTTTTGAACTGTTTTCAATCTTTTTCCATGTACATATGTTAACTTAATTTTTTTTTTATTCTAGGGCGATAAAAGACTTACAATGATGTCCAACCTAATTACATTGTTAACAGTGCTATAGCCATGGGATTACAAAGAGCCTCGAGAGGGCTAGTCCCCCTGTTCCCTGCAGGCCTATACCTCCATAAAAGTCTAGAAAGACAGTGTTCTTCTTTGTTAAAGATACTAAAGTACTGAGTAAAATTCAGGTCCTGCTTTGGCAATTGTAATTCTAAGTTAAAATATAAAAATAGAGAATTCAAGGGCATGAAGGAACTTTACAAAATCAACCCCATTTAAGTGACCCTAACTTACAGGGCAGCCTTTTAAAAACCCTGTC